ATGTGCAGGACCAGGAATCTGAAATCTCAAGCAGGGCCAGCTAGAGAGGGAGGCAGGTCCTCTTATGGACCAGGAAATGCCAATGGCGGAGAGGCTCAGCAGCAACAGGCCATTTTTCCAGAAGAATCCACAGCAGTGTTTTGCTTTAAGTGACTCTGTTTAATGTCAAATGGAGCTTGGGGAAGCTACCTTGACTCACAGGGTGATGGCCAAGAGGAGAAGCAGAATAGAAAAAGGAGGTGTCATCCAACAGAGACTTCAACTCTCTCTGGACCTAGATTTAAAATACTAATACTGTTTCCAAGACGTTCATCAACAGAGGAATGGACAAAGGAAATGTGTCATCTTCACACAGTGGAGTACTACTCTGCTGTAAAGAAGGGTAAATTTGAGGGGCTGGGATTTGGTCCAGGGGTTCCACCACCTGCCTTGCAAATGCAAGGACCTGAGTTTGATCCCTGGTACCAAAAAGAAAGAAAAAGAAAGAAAAAAAAGGGTAAATTTGAATGTCTTTTTTAGAAAAATGGATGCACCTGGAGACCATAATGCTAAGTGAAATAAATCAGATGCACACACTTTCTCGTCTATGAGAAACACCAAGTATAGATGAAAAGCAAAATAAAAGTCCAATAATAGGAAACAAGGAGACAGGGTTTTCTCAAAGAGGAAGGAGAAAAGGGAAAGGAAATGAAAAAATAAACTAAGGTGTGTTATGTGCATGCCTCAGTTCCACACAAGGAACGCAAACATCATGTACTGCAAGTGTGTACTAATAAAAATAAAACACTAATATTTCAGGGGAGATAATTGCTGGGAACATGTTGCTGGAAGGGGAAGAATTCTAAAACCTCATGGGAATTTTAAAACTCGAACTACCCTTTTCTCCTTCCTGGTAAAATTCAAAAGATAATCAGTCTTCCCTGAAAACAAGGAAACTGCATATAGAGGTCAAGTCCTGATCTCGATGGTGGGTGTCCATCCAATTTTTGTTTTGTTTTCAGTACTAGGGATTGAACCCAGAAACATCCCCCATCCCTTTTTATTTTTTAATTTTCAGACAGAGTGTCGCTCTGGATGTCCCCCCAAAGCCTCATGCACTCACAGGTGGGGCTTGTCAGAGATGCCAGGATCTAGGATGTGTGATGCTGAGACTGAGGGTGTGTGATCACTAAATTAGTCCACTGATTGGTTTGGCATAGCTCTGGGTGTGGATAGTAGGAAGGCCCACTATGAGTGTGAGTGGCACCACCCAAAGGTCAGGTAGCCTGGAAGGATTAAAAGGGAGAGGCTTCTCCCTCATAGTGCTGCTGCTTCTTCTGCTTCACTGCTTGCTGCTTTGCCATCTTCTGCCTTCCATGAACTGTTTCTCCTCTGCCAGGCCACCCTGCCTTGGAACTGGCTGACTATGGACTGAGACTACAAACCGTGAGCCAAAATAAATCTTTTCCCCTTTAACTTCGGGTGTTGGATATTTTATCTCAGCAACAAGAAAAGCAATAAGACAGTTGCTAATTCGATAAATTGCCCACAACTTGAAATCCTCCTGACTCAGCCTCCCAGAGTGCTGAGATTACGGGTATTTACCACCACAGCTGGCCAAGGTGTCCAATCTTTTGGCACAATGAGTGAAGAGGAAAAGTCTTGGGCACAAGTAAAATATATAACATAGTTAATGTGCAGAGCTAATGCAACTTCCTTTTATTTTTAATATTTTAACTTATTATTTTATAAAATAACACAAGTCCAAGTTCAGTAATTCAGTAATTTACATGTTTGTTTAGTAACAACAAATGCCTGTCTTTATGTGCATGCGCACGTGTGGGCAGGTTGAATACTACTACTACAGTCGCTGCGTTCTCCTCACGAGTCATCGAAGTGCGTGTAACGTCTGTACACAAAGTGTGGACTGGATGAGGCCTGTGGGACCTGCGAAGCCCCCCTCTGGGGTGTGCTACGGTCACCCACTCACAATGCTCAAGACCCAAACAATCGAGTCGTGAGAAACGTGGCCAAGCATCACATGATCACCTTAAAAGTTTGCCACCTCAGCAGGGCATGGTGGTCATGCCTGTCACCCCAGCTCTCAACAGGCTGAGGCAGGAGGATCACCTCAAGTTCAAGGCCAATCTGAGCTACACAGTGAGTTCAAGGCCAGCCTGAACTATATGGCAAGATCCTGCGTCAAACAAAACAAAAGTTTACCCTCTGGTGGGGCCACATGACTAACTGTCTGCTATAGATTGGACACATCTGCTGTAGCATTTCAACAGTAAAAATCCTTCATTGAATGAACTAATGAAAAATTAACATTCACCAAAGCCTTGTGTCCTCATATGACCTTGTGAAGTAGGTAATTAAATTAAAATTGATCTTCTTGATTCCTTCATACAAATATGATCCTAAAACTCACTGTGAGAAGAGCGGGGCACAGCGGTGCACACCTGTCATCACAGCTCTCTGGGAGGCTGAGGCAGGAGGATCCCAAGTTTGAACCCAGCCTGGGCAACTGAATGATGTATCCTGACCCAGCCAGTCTCAAAAGGAAAAATAGAAAAGGGTTGGGGGGAATACAACTCATTGTGGAGTCCCTGGGTTCTGTGCCCAGCACCAAAACTAGCAATAAAATAAAGTTTCCTGGGAATACACACCATAGACAAATGTCTTTTTTGAAAGCCATAGAGGAAATAGCTCATTTACACTGCCCCACCGTGTATCTTCATGCTAAGAGGAACCCTTCTTATTAACAGTCAGCAAAGAGATCTGTGGTCGAAAATGATCCCAGCAGCGATTTGAACCGAAGATGCTTCCGACAGTCTAGCACTTCCCGCCGTTTTACTCCGACCTGAAATGATTGGCACTAAGCAGTGTGACGTAAGCAGGCAACGCTGGTCCCCAGGAGAAGCGGTTCTGCAGAGGTTCGCAGGGACCGCGCCCCAGGGCAGCCCCAGCGCAGGGGCAGGGGTGGGCCGCCTGCAGCTGCCGCAGCCGGCAGGTCGGAGAGAGGCCGATCTGCTCCAGATAAACGCGGTATTCATGCTGGCCATCTGTCCACGGGTCAGCGGGGACAGAAACGCGGAATCATTATCTCTAATTTACGCGCAGACAATGCCAGGCTTGTGCCGTGCGGATCACGGAGCAGGGGCACGGCGGTCCGGCTGGGAAGCGCTTGTGTGTGTCTGCACACCTCCCCTTTAACCCTTCCGGCCAGAGAGCCGCCTGTGCCCTTTGTCTGCCCAGAGCTGCGCTGAGATCCGTCCACGGCTGGGTGACACCTTCCCAGACCGCAGGCCCCTCCTCCGCCTCTCTGCCTGCTCCGTGCCCTGCACCCCGGGAGGGGGCTGTGCGAGCTCTTCCCTACCCTACTCTGCCCAGAGCCCTGTGCCCCATCCTTCACAAGCGGGGGCTTGGTGTCCCAGACCCTCACCCTCAGTTAAAATGCAAATCCGGATTCTCCTATTCACCTTCACTGTTTTCCAAGGTGAATTCATGAGTTATGTGGAGTTTTTTGTTTGTCTGTTTGTCTTGTTTTGGGGGTTTCTTTGTTTTTGTTGTGTACCAGGGATGGAACTCTGGACCTAGCACATGTGAGGCAGGGGGTGGAACCACTGAGCTAAATCCCTGGCATGAGTTATGTGTATGCGTGCTGTATATAAAAATTTAAAACAAAACTTCCAATCCCAGTAAACAGACATCTACTGCATCTACTAGGTACAAAGGAGACCCAAAAAATGAAGAAAAGGTTTTCTGACTTTAAGAAATTTTCAGCTTAGTACAGAAGGCAAAATCATTAGAAAATGAAATAGAAATGAGCCAGGTGTGGCAGTGCATGTCTATAACTGTAGCACTCAAGAGGCTGAGGCAGGAGGGTCACAAGTTCAAGCTCAGCCTGGGTACTTCAGCGAGTAAGACCTTGTTTCAAAAAATAAAAATAAATAAATAAGAAGTAGCAGAACTGAGGTTTGAACTCAGGTCTGTCTGACTCCAAAATCCACACTAGCAGGAATCTGTGGAGATCACGTGCGGAGACACAAACTAGAGCCCTGAAAGCCAACGGGTTCAAGTTGCTACAGAAGCAGGGCCTGGACAATCGGCCCGCACAAGCTACCGCACCGCCTGCCAGCAGTGGGGACCGGCTCAGTACCAGGCAGAGGGAGGCGCCGGGTAAAGATGAACCAGTGGCGTCCCGGAGGAGCAGCGAATCCCCTCTGTGAGTTCAGGGCTCGCTGGGCTGCGTTCCAGAGTGCGGGACGAAGTTCAGTTCCCGCTGCTAATGCGATGGTGCCCACGGACACGTGGAAGGCGGCGGGGCTGCCTCGGAGTGCTCCGGGCGGGAGGGAACACCCCAGGGCCCGCAGCGCTGGCCGGGTGGCTCCAGCTGGGCCCCCGAGAACGCGTGCAGCTCCTGGGAGAGAAGTGGCCGCTGCACCCTCGGGGCCTCTGCTGGCCCGGATCCCCGGGCACGGGGTGGGGGGACGTCCTTACAGTGCTGCGAAGGCAGGAGGGGCTGCTCTGTGTCCCTTCTTTGTCACCTCCAGGTGCAAAGAGGCGCTCGTCAAATTCACAGACGGGCTGGGGAGGACACACCACCTGGGCGTTCGCAGGACGCCGGGATAAGATCAGGGAATCGGGCACAGTGTCACGGCAGAACCCCAGCCCACTCACCTCGGGGGCACCTTGAAAGCCACCCCGAGACCTCGGCTGCTTTGTGAAGCTCACAGGTGCCGGTGGACGATGGACGCTGGGCCGTGGGGAACCCAGACCCCGGCTGAGCTCGGGGATGGCTCCGGGAAGGGAACGGGCTCCTCCCGCGGGCCGTCCACCCACGCTCCCCCGGGTCCACCGGCCGCGGACAGCCCCAGAGGAAATCGAGGTGACCTCGCTCACGCTGTGTTCAAATGTGCTTCACAGATGTGTAATGAAGGAGAAGTTCCCGAAGTGTCGCGTGCTTAGTGATTGTGTGGTCGCGCTGTTGGCAGTGTAGCTCCGCACTGCTCTCTTACCTCACTGAAAGCCATGGCCGAGTTGAAAGGTTCCTATGTCCTCTGGATGTTTTGTGCATTCATTGTCGATGCTTAACGACCTAGAATGGAGGCACGAAAGGTTTCAAGATAGTAGAAAAAATAATTCACACCAAGGTCAACGTAATGTTGCATAACATGTACTGAGTCTCCGTGCTCTTTTTCTTTACTTTTTATTTTTAATAGTACATTTTTTCACTACACAATTACATTCACCAAGGGAGTTGGCACCTATACAAACACATTTTCTTTTTTTTTTTTTTTTGCCAGCATCAGATTTATTTATTTTAGGTCTATATAAAGTTAGTTAGCTCACACACAGATTAACAGCCAGATTATAAAAACAAAACATATAAAACACATAAGATAATCATACTAAATCAAAGTATACTTTTTGATACAATGGCCATGCTGAATTACAATAACTCCCCCCCCATTTTCTGTCTTTTATTTTAACTTTATTTATACCTTTGGTTTCTCATATAAGAGAAACCAGGCAATATTTAAGATTGTGAGTCTGATTCACTTCACTTACCATTATGGTTTCAAAGTGCTTCCATGTTCTTACAAATGACCCGAGTTTATCCTTTTTTGTGGCAGTGTAGTACTTCACTGCAGTGTAAATACCACATTTTCTGTATCTGCTCCTCTAATGATGGACATAAAGGCCACTTCCAAGACCTAGCTGTTATGAGTTGTCCTGCTGTAAACACGGGTGTGCATGGATCCGTGTAATACGATGTTTTTAACTCCTTTAGACACCAGAAGGGGAATAGCTGGGTCTAATGGAATTTATAGTTTTAATTTTGAGAAGAATCTCCACACTGATTTCCACAGAGGTTGTCCTAGTTTCCATTCCTGCTTACAACGTAGAAGGGCTTCTTTTCCCCCAGAGCCTCGCCAGCATTTGTTATTGGTTGACTCTGGTGATAACCACTCTTTCTGGGGGAAAATGGAACTTCGGTGTTGTTTTAATTTGCATTTCTGGAACTTACAATGTAGAAGGGCTTCTTCTCCCCCAGAGCCTCGCCAGCATTTGTTATTGGTTGACTCTTTGGTGATAACCACTCTTTCTGGGGGAAAATGGAACTTCGGTGTTGTTTTAATTTGCATTTCTGGAATGGCTGGAGATGCTGAACATTTGTTCGTGCCTGTAGTGGCCATCCGTGGGTCTTCATCTGAGAAGTTTCACCACCTTTCCCGGAGTGTCGGGCTGCTAAGAGGACTGGACTCACAGCGGACAGGACTGGCGGCCCCACCACTGGGGGCTTCCCAGAGGTGGCGGGACTAGCAGGTTGGGGCTCACAGCCCCACTCCCCAGCATCTGGGAGAGGAAGAGGGTTGGAAGTTGAGCTGGTCACGGAGCCCACATCCAATCAATGTGACTGATCCTGCCTGCCGGGCAGCAGAGTTTCCCGCGGAGAGAGGGGCGGAGCTTCTGAGCGGACCCCAGGGAAGAGCCGCCCTCTTCTGGTCCAGACCTGCCCCACCACCTCCCCATCTTCCTGCTGCTCTGTGTCTTTGTTACGTCTTTTGTTGATGAACTGGGATCCCTGAGTGCCTCCCTGAGTTCTGTGCACAACTCCAGCAAATTAAATGACCCGGGGCCAAGAGACTGTGGGAATCTCAGTGAAGCAGTGGCAGGCCGGAAGCTGCAGAAGCCCAAATTTGTGACTGGCATCGGAAGTGGGGACAGTGTGTGGGGACTGAGTCCACCTCCCACAGGGTTGGAACCTACATCCCGAGGGTCACCCCACTGGTGACCCCTGGAGGGCCTGCTGCTGGCTAGGACTGCTGAGACCCTTGATCACAGACGGGCTTTGTGTGTTGAGTGGATGCCAGGAGAAACTGAGTATGTTATTTCTTACATTGCTACAGCCATAAATGAACATATAGCTGGGCATGGTGGTGCTCACCTATAATCCCAGCATTCAGAAGGCTGAGGCAGGAGGGTTTCTGTGAGTTCCAGGCCAGTTTGGACTACATAGTGAGATCCTGACCTTAAAAAACAATACATAGGGCCAGAGATTTAGCTCAGCGGTTCGGTGGCCTGCCTTGCAAGTGCAAGGACCCGAGTTCGATCCCCGGTACCAAAAAAAAAAAAAAAAACAATAAATAGTCAGGTGTGGGGGTGCATGCCTGTAATCCCAGCACTGAGGAGGCTGAGGCAGGAGGATGCTGTGAGTTCAAGACCAGCCTATGGAACATAGTGAGTTCCAGGTCAGTCTCAACTACATAGTGAGACCTGGCCTCAAAAAAAAACAAACAAAAACAATAAATTAGTAAATGAACAAATGTGCAGTACGAATGAAGTATAGAATATGATCCCACATACTGTGGAGAATGGGCATTTCCACTGATGGTGGTTTTGCTCAAGCAGCCAAAAGAGAACAACAGAGCCAATAAATATAATAATTTATATTCAAAACCCAGACTTTGGGGATGGAAATCTACTCCACCGTAGGGCCCAGCACACTGTAACTGAGCTCGATCATTGCAAGACACAAAGTCATTTTATTTGAGCAAAGTCTGGGGCCATGTCTATGAAGCCAATCAGAGAGCACTTCACAACAAAATGGGCAAAACACTTCCCTGTAGAAAAGGAATGAAACACGGCACTAGGTGCAGAAAAGAAGGGAAAGGCAAAAGAGCATGACAAGGAGTTAAATTTTCATAGCACAAAACAGGCACAGTTACAGTTGCCGAGGAACCCCAAGCCATCCACAGAGTTAATGTTTGCAAATACTGTGTGAGGAAGAAGAGGGAGGGAAGGCGGGAGCCGTCCTCTGGGAGTCAGCGGTGCTGGGAGATCCGTAAAAGCAGCAGTGCGCAGTGCGGTCCAGCCGTTACTGTCCCACTGATGGGGAGGGTCGGCGTGTGGCCAGAGTGCCCGGTGGCTTGTATTTGTCAACGAAAGATGTGTCCGGGTAGCTACTTTATTCGTGTTGGTGAGGACTGCTCTGTGGGCGGTGCCACAGGCAGCAGCTGGGCCGGGCTGTGTGCTCCGGAACGAGCACAACCGCACAGGATAAAGGACACCCTGCAAACCCGACTGAGCCGTCCTCCCTCCACGGCAGGTGCCAGGCATGTATCTCCTGACCTGGACTTGGGCTTTCCAGAAATCCCAGGCACTGATGGTTCCACTTTTCTCACACTTTATAAGGATCTGCTGGCGCACGAAGAGGCACTCATTCGTACTTTGAAACAAGTGATCTAATTAAAATGCGTCCTCGGATATATAAATCAAGTAAAGAGCATTACTATCATTCGGAATAGCTTCCAGTGAGTAGTCAGCAACATTATGACATCTTGAACCTATAGTTTTAGGGGCTGGAAGCCGTGTGTCTTCGTGTGCATATGTGTGTGAGTCTGTGTGTATCATGAGATGAAGACATCAAGCTTTAACAAGTGATCTAATTAAAATGCGTCCTCGGATATATAAATCAAGTAAAGAGCATTACTATCATTCGGAATAGCTTCCAGTGAGTAGTCAGCAACATTATGACATCTTGAACCTATAGTTTTAGGGGCTGGAAGCCGTGTGTCTTCGTGTGCATATGTGTGTGAGTCTGTGTGTATCATGAGATGAAGACATCAAGCTTTCATAACAAGGAGTGGTTCCACTTTTCTCACACTTTATAAGGATCTGCTGGCGCACGAAGAGGCACACTCATTCATACTTTGAAACAAGTGATCTAATTAAAATGCTTCCTCGGATATATAAATCAAGTAAAGAGCATTACTATCATTCGGAATAGCTTCCAGTGAATAGTCAGCAACATTATGACATCTTGAACCTATAGTTTTAGGGGCTGGAAGCCATGTGTCTTCGTGTGCATATGTGTGTGAGTCTGTGTGTATCATGAGATGAAGACATCAAGCTTTCATAACAAGGTGGAATTTTGGTACACCAGCCTTAAGTACTTTTTAGTGATTTGCTTTACTTGTCTGAAAAAGAAACCGATGCTGTGATATTGTGAAAACCACATCTTAATATGATAACAATGGAATAAATGTCTTTCCCAGGGAAATACCATCCAAGAGCTGTTAAGAAAAACCTTTGCAAGTCGCGGTATTGGACCTACCCAAAACGTCAGTCTCACTGGTATGAAAAGGGACCGGATGGTTTGTCATTGTTTCTTGTTCCACCTTGAGACCAGTTGCCAGGGAAACACCTCTTAGAGAAGGCTGCGCATACCCTTCATGCTCAGTGTGGAACTTACACACAGATAGTCACCGGATAAAACATGATTAATGCCCGGTGAGGGTCTGCACCTCCAGTGCTGTGTGGCGGTGTGGTCACGGGCTCAGGTGTGCTGCGGGTCCTGCCTCAAACTGCTCTGCAGTGCTCGCTGACTTCTGTCTGACGCCTGGGCTCATTTCCAGGGCGCCAAGTGGGACAAGCCGAGGACTGTCGTACTCAGAGTCTCCCTAGGGGTGACATCCTGGGACGGCTTCCAGTGTCTCTCGGGACTGGCCTCTATCCCGTGTCAAAACACTGCAGACCACAGTAAATCTCTATTTATCTGTCTTGCTGTTGCAAGCTAAGGAGAGGCTCTCTGGATTTTTATCCTTAATGCTGGTCTCTTGGGAGTTTGGGGGATGGAAGAGAAGGTGCCATCTTGGCGAACTGAATTTACTTCCTTGTAATCACTGAACTCTTCTCAGAATACTAGGAATCTACTTAACCTGCTCTGAATTCTGCCGATAATGACACCAGTGTCTTCCATCCATGGCTCTGAGAATCCCTTGTGTCATGCCTGTTAAACCGCAGAATAGAACTGACGATTTCTGAGGCTCGGATCAATCTCTGGCCCTGGATAATCTGGGGCAGATTACAACAGAGGCTCCGGAACAAATCTCCAGGGTCCTGTAAATCTCCAGAACAATTCACAGTGCCTCCCTCTCGGGGCCATTCCAGCGACGAGTCTAGAAAGACAAGTGGATCCCATTTCTAGAGAGGTGACGGCTGGTGGAAGGGGTGCAGACGTGCACCTGTGAAGCCGAGAGGAGGCTGGGCAGTGGCTGTGTGCATCAGGCTGGTCTCGGAGGAAAGAACGTA